GTGGTGTAAGCCCGTTTCATCTCTGTTCCTGATTATCTCAGCCAGAAAGTCACTCAACTCAGGCTGTATCTCCTGTTGTTCAGTCTTCCGTTTCTCTCTTCTCTTACAACCGCTCAGCTTCCAGCATCCTTCTGTCACACCTGTGTTGCATTCGTTGCACATCTGCGAACTTGATCTCAAGGTTGGTAATTATATAACTTTCTCTACTCATTCTTTCTCTATTCACGTCTCATCTACCCCTCTGCATCTTTATCCTTGACCAGCGCCACTTCAAGCAGCAAGGACCACACTTGGGCACGTCTACCTGTACCACGAAATCACCACATGCTTCGAATCGGATCATTGCATGTGAGCCACGAGAAAAACATGGAATTGTCGTTGTCTGCCACTGGTTAGATCATATCCAATACTGGGCCCGACCCCTTTGTCTCCGTCCCTGCCGTATGTCGTTCGACTTTGCTCTGCCTGCCGGACGACAATGAATTATACCTTCTCGAAACGCTCGTTCAAGGATGATCCTGTCCATCATCAGTCAAATCCTCCGTGTTCCTGACGAACGTTACACATAAATAAGCAATCGCCTCAAGTCAACTCCATCATCTAGACAAGCCTGGTCACCTTGAACAAAAGGAAGAAGCCTCACCCGGCGCCGCAACAACGCCTCGACCACTATCATGTCTGAATCTTATCTTCTCTCCACATCATAAGATATACAGGCCAGCAATACGACAACTCACAACGTTTAATGACCAACTTTAAGATGGTCTCTCGGCATCACCCCGTCTCCAGTCTCCAGTCATGGTCCCACATCCCGGCCTTCCCCAAGCTGGCCCGTCTTTCTTTGATCCACCTCAATCAATAGCATCCTCCATATTAGCCGCAAAAACACGCGACACTCATTATCTTTCGCTGCTAACAGTAAGGGACCAGTTCAGCTCCAAATTGACCCCATTAGCTTGGCTCCAAGATCAAGTCTGATTTTTGATCGCGTGCCGACCTTTTGTTGTTTGCGACTCTTGGCCGTACAAAGTCACGCCAGCTCGACGACATCGATTTCCCCCCTTCGGTCATGCGTTGATTGCAGTATCCTATCATTCCGTAGGGGTCCTAGAAGTAATTATACGATTTAATTCCGTCCAGTCCCACCTTCGCGAACCCCGGCCATCACAACCCCGCTATCCTCGGTGACAGACCCAACTGCCTGCCACGCTTTGCGACTCTAGCGATTAGCAACCGTCATCCTCGAGCCTTGGCCTACCACTGCCTGGCTGGTGGATTCTTAGCCTGTCGCTTTATAGCACGGCTCGACTTGCCTGAGTCTTTTTCCCAACGTACACATCGCATCGGCTTCGCTTCATAGGCTTCCTATTCGGACATTGGGTATGGCCTCCGTTATAACAAATAACGTGAAAACGACCCTTCCCATATCCCCGGTCAGTTCCGGCGCAATGGGAGCTCAAAATATATCGCCTCGCGACACTTCGGATCCTACAGGTCGCGGCCGACGAAGAAGTCGCTCACCCGCAGATGACAGCGCGGAACAGGTTATAAAATCAGAGGGAAATCAAGATGGTCCAAATGGCGCATCTTCCAACTCCGACGGTCCTGGCCCGGCCAGAAAACGAAGACGGAGCCGAAAGGGCCTGGATAAGAGGTTTGAGTGTAGTGCTGAAGGGTGTGGGAAGAGCTATTCAAGAGCGGAACATCTGTATGTCTCGAATTTGTGCAACACTCAGAGGTCCATGCTGACATGTAACAGATACCGGCATCAACTAAACCACAACTCTAAACAGACCTACCACTGTACGTTTCCTAACTGCACACGGACTTTTGTCAGAGGAGATCTTCTCAAAAGGCATATGGACCGGCATGCTGCGAAGGGCTCGCAGCTCAACCAGAGAGATTCTATCATGGCACAATCCATAGCTCCGGGTCAATCAAACCAACAAGTTCAACCTCCTAACTTCAGTCGGAATAACTCTATCGATTACTCAAAGCACCAGCAAACGAATATGCCTTACCAAACATCACAAGTTCCAACACCTAACCCATATTCGCCCTTGAACAATACTCCAACGGGCATGTACCCAAACGGAGCTATGCCAAATGGAATGGATAGTTACATGTCCCCAACCCAGGGTTATGATAATCGTACGCCGCAACTTAGCCAACCACAGTCTCCTTCAATTCAACAGAGGCCGTCTATGTCTGCCGGCAATACACCATTCAACATGATGTCTCCAATTGCGAATCAGCAAGGTTTCCCAAATCAACAGAATATGTCGCAGAATAATTTTGTCAGTCAGCAAAACGTTATGCCTATGACCCTACCTCCGGCTCAGTACCCCAACGGACAAAATGCTACCGTAGTTACTTCAGCGGAATATTCAGAGCCAGGAACCACCCAGCCTAGCGAAATGATGATGCTGGATCAGATGGCTATGCCGGCAACTGTTCCTGTCTTTGGAGAGGGAGGTGATATGAACAAGTCACCCTACGTTGGGATGCCGGAGGACTTTATGGCTTACCTCTTCAACTCCCCCAGTCAGGCCATGACACCAGTGATGGGCCCGAATTACACAAAGTCAGTAATCAGTAAAATATATTGGAACTCGCACTAACCTGAAACTAGTTATGCGGAATTGCAAGGAAACCAATTCAATATGAACCTTTTGGGTACAGATAGCAATTCGCTTGGATATTTTCCAAGCGCTCCTCAGCAAGTAATGGCTGTCAACAACCTTCTTGATCAACAGGTTCCGGAAGCCACGATATCCGAGGGAAAGAGTCAGGAGCTATTCGACTTTATCAAAGAGCGTTTCCATGACAACAAGCATGCACCACCTGACCGTCAATGGGCCGACCTGCTTGAGGGTGATCGATCTAACGGTGAGCATATGTTGAGCAAGAGGATGATGCAGGCTTATATCGGTTCTTATTGGTATCATTTCAGCGATCAGATGCCTATTCTTCACAAGCCTACTTTCTCTCCGGACAAGACGCCAAATCTCTTACTTCTGGCGATGATGGCTATCGGAGGGGCTTGTCTAGACAGGACACATGGACACAAGGTGACAAGAGCAAGCGCCCAACTCTCCAACTTCCTTGCCTGGCATCTCCGTTGGGACATCTTCATGGACGTCAGTTTCAGGCCGCCTGCGAAATTGTGGATTTTCCAAGCTTTGATTCTCCTGGAATTATATGAGAAGATGTTTGCGACAAGAGAACTCCACGAACGGGCCCACATTCACCATGCGACCACTATCACCCTGATGCGACGAGGGCGATCTCTGATCGGCAAATCTGCATTGGACTCTCCGCCAAACCCTCGTGACGCATCCAATGGGTCTCGGCAGTCCTCTACGTCCAGCTCGACAGGAACAGCTGATAAATGGTGGGAGCATTGGGTTACAAACGAGGCGACCCGGCGTGCAGCGTTCGCGGCTTTCATTGTTGATTCGATCCATGCTACGATGTTTGGTCATTCGGCAGTCATGGTAGCCCATGAAATGCGGCTGCCTCTTCCTTGTGATGAGTCTATGTGGCGAGCCGGAAGTAGTTCTGAAGTCTGGAGGATTGAGTCAAACTTGATGTCGAATGGCATTAAGCCAACTTCATTCCTGGAGGGTCTCAAGCGAACTTTGAGCGGCCAAGATGTCCACACGACATCATTCGGCAGAACGGTCCTTATGACAGGCCTATTGAGTGTCTCGTGGCACATGCACCAACGGGATCTTCAGGTCAACGTTCTGGGCGGCGGCATCATCCAGGCTCTTGGTGGTCGTGATCGATGGCGGGCTACTCTAACTCGAGCCTACGACACTTGGAAGGCTGATTTTGACAAGCATTTAGAACGAAGTGAGGCAGCCGACCCATATCGAGACGATGCTACGAAAAGGCAGGAGTTCAACGTCGTATTCGAAAGCCGCACGGTGTTGCACCATTTGGCACACATGGCTATGCATGCCGATATTGTGGATTGCCAAATGTTTGCACGAGCAAAGCGTCTACTTGGTCGAACGATTGGGCCTCAAGAGTTTAATAGTGCTCAAAGGCGAATCAAAGACCACTGGGCTCACTCAGCAAGGGCGAGAGATGCTGCCTTTTACGCTATCAAGTTCCTCTGCTCAGTACTTGCTCCAGACCAAGTATCTGCAGCACATGCGGGTGGATATCACCTCGATGAGCCTTACGACGCCCGCGATGATGTTCTCTTGAATCGGCCATGGGTGATGTACTTCGCTGCCCTGGTTGTTTGGAGTTATGGATTCGCGCTCGAGGGACCTTGTCCCAACATCCCGCTACCTACCACAAGGCACGAGAAGTTGCAGCATATGAGGAACTATTTTATCAAATTTGGTGGCATCGACAGTCCCGGTGCACTACAAGGTCGATCTGGGGTAAACGCGAATACGGCCCTTCTCATGGTCCTCAAAGACACGTTTCAGGTATGTTCTTTTGAGTTTCAAGTTGAGCAGTAACTGACAAGCTTTTAGACAACACGTTGGGAATTGCTCCATGAAGGATCAGCTCTCTTAAGCAACTGCATCATCCTTAATCAAGGCGGAACAATTGACTAAGGTGACGGTGCTCAGTTCCCTGTTTCAAGCAGGTGTAAGAATGTGTGGAAGTTGCACGAGTTGTTGGGCTATGCCTATAAGGCCAAGTGAACGATATTCCTTCGCCCTTTGAATGAGATGAATAACATATACGACGGATATAAAAGGATACTGGCGCATGGATACAAAGGATTCACAATTGGTATGAGATATGATGGACTCAGAACGGCATGGTTTACCTAGATGGAGTATGCGGCTTCTTGCTTTTGCATTTTAGAATACCCCAGTGTCGTTTTGCACAATATGATGGTTTTCAAGCGGAATAGCCTGAGAAGAAAATTGCTCCAATTGGTTGTCTAAAAACCAAGATATAGATGAATGGGCTCGTGGACTCCTGAGATGTTGTCCATTCCAAATGCGAACGCCGTCGTATCAAATCAGTCAGTTCAGGGCGTGGCCATTTGCGAGACTCTCTTCCAAAGGTAAGTTCGCATCGTGAAGGAGAGCCGTTAGTTCCTCTCCTGCTGCAGTACCCTCCATCTCTTCGTCTTCATCATCCTCGTCCTCGTCATCTTCGCCAGTGTACGGCATTTCTCCCTCTGGATCAGTCTCAGAGTCTATGTCTATGTCGATCAGAGCGCCGTATGGCAAGAAGAAGTCGTTTGGCAGAAGGTCGTCCTCCATGTTTGCGACTTGTGCGAGGGTCGCGCCCTTCCAGAAGGCTGTGGGACCGGCAGGTCCATGAACATCGTAGTCACTGCACTCGGCATTAGTGAATTACTGGAAGGTGAGTTTTTGGTGCTATACCTATCGAACCAGTTTCCTACAACGCCTCGAGCGGAGCGTACACCTCCGATCTGAATACCCTCACTGCGCCAGCGCTCGACACCATGGAATATTGAAAATGTTGTCCATCTCACCTCGCCTTCTTTTGTCAGGCGAGCAGTGCCTTTGACGTTGAATGTTCTCACGTTAACTCCAGCTGCACTTTTTCAACTTTGCCTTGGGAAGGGAGATACTCTACTTACCTCGGATATTTGAGTTGGCATTATCGTCAAACGAATCGTCCAGAGAACGAGATACACCCCGAAAGTGAACTACGGGTAGCTCTTGGCCGTCTTCTGGGGCTGGTTCCTCTATAGATGTAACGTTGACTTTCATCATGATAATGCGAGTTGCTTCACCCACATCAAGTGGTGGGCGTGGCGCATCGGCGGTGATGAGTTCGGGGTCACCAAAATTGAAGGCGAAGAAGTCGCTATAATCAAGAAAGCACACAATCTGGAACCTTATCTGTTAGCTTAACTTTCATGGAGAAGCAAATAGATACGGGAGTATCCTAGGGCCAACAAACGCGGTACCATGTGCCTGTGACTCCGTAAGGGTCGCGGGCCTCGAGTGAAGTGATGTCACGAGGCGGAGGAGCCATAAAACTGTTTTGGAACGATCCCGAGAACGGGCTATCCCAGACCTCGGCGAATATTCGTGCAATCAGGCGTCTTGCGCCAATGTTGTGACCTAGAACAATGAGAATAGCCTCCACCTTTTCCCAATCAACATTGAAAGTGCCGTCGTCTTTGAATGGTCCCCATCCTGTGTTCTGTGTGAACTGGCGCAAGTCGTAGACCTTGGAGCAAGCATAAGGATACGTTTTCATAGATCGTAGACGGCCGACGTTGAGGATAGGCCTTGAGTAAAGACAGTGAAGGTGGGCGCTCTTTTGCTGGAGAGTCCTGTAGCCGTCATCACATGAGGTCGGCGCAGAGATACTGTCTCGCGTTGGCTGACGGCGCAAGCGGTTGAAAAGAGATGAACCTTGGAGGAAGGCCTCGGCAGTGTCGTCTCGAGAGAAAAGACTTTGAAGGTGAGCGACATTGCGCGATGGCGCATGGGTCTTGGAGAGGTTGATGGCTTCGTCGTGAGAAGGTGAAGCATTTTTGAGAATACGAGTGACTGTGTCGTGTACAAATCCGAGTTCAGATTTCTACATAACCATTAGATCTTTCATTAAATAGAACATGAGAATTCTTATCTTGTCTTACCTCTGGGTTGTTGCATATACTTTCAAGCTTAACAAAGTCTCGAATCTCTTGCTCGTAGTCCAGGTTTGAGTTACTCGGTTCATCCTGAACTGTTTGTTAGAACTCATGTAATCCGTTAGGGAATACATACCAGTGTGTTCATGTAGACATCTCGATATAATTTGTAGTTCACTTTCGTTACTGTATGAAAGGCCTTACACACGCGGGGCAGTATAACAAGGTCGGCCGGAGCTATCCACTGCAAAATATGATGCAGTATTTCAGCTGGAAGCTGCAGAATCGGCGCCACCGCGTTTAGACTGTCCATGATGCGAATAATCTTGTGGCTTAATTGTGTTGTCTTTGAGAGAACGTGAATCTTTGAGATGAGGCTGCCATGTAATGACGATATAGAAAGGCTTCTGACGTTACTTCCGGCCGTGTACATCGCATCGGACTTAACGTGCGGAGCTTGTGTGGGGTCGCCGCCTTAGGATAATCGTCCATGAGTCTACCCTAGGCCGAAATTAAGTTCATGGTTTTTTAACACCCAATCATAGTATATATCATGGAATGATTTGTCTGTATTATATATTTATTCTGGGCTCCTCCTCTAACTCCCTAGAATGTCTAGTACTCATATAATTGCATCTACATCTTGGCCTTGATATCGCTATCAATGTTGACCTTACCATGCTCAGCCGTAGCAAGGAGAAGATTGTCTGATCTCCTTCTCATATTTCCGTGCAGAGAAGCTAATTTCTTTCCAACCTGAGTAATCGAACACTCTATCAATACCTCAGTTCCAACTGGCACAGGTCGCATATAAGTGACGTTTAGCGTCCTGCTCACGCCCATATGCTGCCAGAAGCCAGGCTTGTTAACCAAAGCAAGGGGTAATGTCGTACACCAGTCAAAGAGTGTGGCCGCGCAACCTCCGTGCAGGTTCTGTAACCTGTTGCAATTATCGGGCTGAACTGTATATGAGAATACACATGACGGGTGAGGTCCTTCAGCATTGGTGGACACGAGCTCAAGATGAGGAATGAGGGTATTCATCCAATCCTAGACTCATTGTCAGTGACTGTAATATTTTGCATGAGAGAGAAGCCTACTCCTTGTTTGGAATGACCGCTCTCATTGAGTGTAAGTTGTAGCCAGGCTTTGACTCTTTCTTCTGGACTGCCCTCTTTCAAGGTTTTGCGATGATTATCTGTTGGTTTGTTGTCGGACATGTTGCTTACTCTTTGAAGTACGAGTTACTGTGCCAAAGTGAGGCTGCAATCACCGAATCAAGATGGATTATGAAATATGCAGCAGATGACTTAAGCCTTTCAGAAAGATACAAAAGCAGAATCTGGGGTATCACGTTGAAATTAACATATGGTTTACCCTTACTTTCGATACCTCGGTCCGTTGTAAACGCTAACGTCAGTGCTGGTTATTGCCTTTTTGAGCTAATGACCCCAGAAGCCGAGGCACTTCCATCGGCCAACCAGCCCGAGCCTGATATCGTAGTCGCATCCACTTCACCCGTTATCGCAGCTGCACAGTAATCCGGGGTCATTAACAAATTCCACTCCACTAAAGATCTCCTGTCGCAGCTGATATCCATTCATACTCGACCTTGATTTCATCATCGTCCATTGCCATTCCTTTACCTATCCTCCGTATCCTCCAGGCGTCTCCTAGAGACAATGGAGTTCGTAACGGCCCTCCGGGGCACCTTCGACGAGCAGAAGCCGTCTCTCTTCGAGGTCCTTTCTGAGCAGCAGCTCAACGCCCTCCTCCCGCCGACCCTCCGCTACCTACTTACCATCGCGACGCATCGACACCCACGATATCTTCTAAGAATACTAAACTCGTTCGATGAGATATACGCTGGTGTTATGCTCCTCGTTGAGCGGCATTACCTGCGCACCCGAGGCGGCTCCTTTACAGAGAACTTCTATGGCCTCAAGCGCGAAAAGGGCCTCCATGCCGAGGTGCCACGCGCGAGCATGTCGTCACCTGATATTGTGCGCGAGACATTGAAACTCACGACCAGGGACGTGTGGAAGAATCTGCTCGTCATTGTCGGCATCCCTTACTTGAAACGGAAGCTTGACGAGAGCTACGAGGTGAATGCGCCAAGAGCTCTTCTCGGGGCGGCATACACGCGAATGCCAGACAACCCGACTCTTCGCGACCGATTTCTATACTATTACCGATGGTTCCTCAGGAACATATACCCGAGCGTCAATGCCGGCTATTACTTTGCCATGCTTGCTTTCAACGTGGCGTACCTGTTCGACGGGAGCAAATATCACAGCCCGCTCCTGTGGCTAATAGGAACACGTATTCGAAGAATGTCCGGGGCAGATTACAAGGCCATTGAGGCTTTGACACAGACACCCGAGACAGGACACAGACCTGGGTGGCGATCGTTGTTAAACCCCCGTGAAATGGGACCGCGGGTATTGTCAAGCTTATCGATTTTGCTACCGACAAGTATCTTTGCCCTCAAATTCTTGGAATGGTGGTATCAGTCGGATTTTGCGAAGCAGCTCTCACGAAAAGCGACGGAAAGTGTTGATTTGCCTCCGCCTGTGATTTCGGCAGATGGCAAGGGAGGCCTCAACAAGAAGAAGCCAGAAGTGAAGAAAGAGGAGTCAAACGAGGGAGACGCAATCCCTTCAGCAGAAGATGCACCCATCGCCACTCCCTCGTTGCTCCCTGTCTATACAATTCCATTTCCCAGCGATTCGGCATTGTGCCCCATTTGCGTCGATGAGATCGTCACTCCAACAGCCTGTCAAACCGGCGTCGTTTATTGCTACACATGTATCCACAAATGGATCGAGGGCCAACATCAGAAACAAGAGGATTTTATGGAGTCGCGCGAGGGCAAGTGGGAGAGTGGTCAAGGGAGATGCGCAGTGACAGGCAGAAGGGTTCTGGGTGGAACTGAAGGCCTGAGGCGGATAATGGTATAGAGAAAACGACATTTACAGTATAAGTAACTGCATGCGTCGCGATGGAGATTTTCTCAGTGTTGGCGTGCAATTTTCGATACCCAGGAGTCTTGGATGTCTCACCCTTTTAATTGAAGCAGCTTCACTACATCTCAATGCGGTTCATTATCGTAATTGCATCTCTCGACTTTGGAATGCATGCGCGTCTCCATGTTTCACTTAACGTCTGATTTACCTGCGTCGACACGCTATCATCGACGCCAACCGCTCAATGTCTCACTTTAATCTCCGCCGCCTTGAGGCGATTCAGAGGCCAGCCACACTCTGGCCGGAGGGTCAATGAAATGGAATGTATAAGATGGCGCACAAAGAGATCAACGTCATGTTCTTTGAGACGAAATGCGACCCCAGCCTGCAGACAATGCAGAGTTGATGGAAAGCATTGCATTCTCTCCAACGTGCCCCCCATGATGCTATTGGCTCAGCCTAGAATCTCGTGGTGTCTTAGAATAGCGTCACAACTTCTTGACTACCTCGAATGCGTATGCTTTCAGACGTTTGCCAACCACTACCGAATTCCATATGCGGGTGGTGCTCGCCGTGTAAGACAATGGACCGCAAAGAATTAAAAGACGAACTGCTGCCCGCGGCTTTTCGAGATGAAACAACTCATCCTCTTCAGACAACTCTTCTACTTTTGTCTTTTGTCCTCATATCCGTCGTGAACTGTGATGGCATACTCATTAACTACCTCCTTCTTAGGAGACTCCTTGATCTCTGGTTTCGACTGGTTCAATGGCCGTGATCTTTCGAATGGATTCGTACAGTGAGAAAGACTCATCCGTCTCAAGCTTATTTCGTAACTAATAGCATAACAGATATCAAGACCTAGAGGGTGCCGATCAATATGGTTTATACTCCGTGGATCCTTTCAGTAATACTGTTCGACTCAGACCCGACTCTGCTAGAAAATTTGGTCTGGATGAGGGACGACCTAGTATTCGACTTGAAAGCAAGGAGTCCTACCAATATGGATTGTTCATCGCAGATTTCCAACACATGCCCATTTCACAATGTGGTACTTGGCCAGCCTGTATGTGGTTCTAACCTGACTCACGAGTAGAGCATGAACTGACATGGTGGATATAGTCTGGGCATATGGTGCTAACTGGCCCAACAATGGCGAAGTTGATATCCTTGAGGGTGCCAACTTGGCTTATACTAATATCATGTCTGCACACACGGCCGACGGCTGCATGCTAGATCCCGCAGACTCGAATCTCTTCTCTGGAAATCCTCAGAGCTTGGACTGTGCCGTTGGTACAGACAATGTTGGATGTGGTTTCACTCCGCCCGCCAGCGACACTTCCTCCTACGGTGATGGCTTCAATGCTGTCGGTGGTGGTGTATATGCTATGGAGTGGGACTCCGAGTACATCTCGATCTGGCACTTCCCACGGGGCGCAATTCCGGCTGATATCGAAGCCAAACGACCTGATCCTAGGAAATGGGGACTTCCTCAGAGTTTATTTGGTGGTTCAAAATGCAATGTTGACGAATACTTCAACAATATGAGGATTGTTCTGAATATTGTAAGTGGTACCCACGACAATAACCGGAGAAACTAATTGACTTGTCTAGAACTTTTGCGGCGATTATGGCGAGGGAACCTGGGGAAGTTCTGAAACTTGTCGAGCTCTCGCCCCAACTTGTCGCGAATATGTTGCAAACAACCCTCTGGATTTCCAAGACACATATTTCGATGTCAGCTACATCGATGTCTACACTCGCCTGGGAGGAGCCATCCCGCCTGTTGTTCCATCAGCAACCAGCGAGGCACCTACCGAGATCTCCATCCCTTCAGCTAGCACTCCCGGCCCCAACACTCCAATTTCAGGAAACACTAGATTCCCGAACAGCACCTCCATCGTCACTCGTCCCAGGCCTGAGGAAGATGCATCCGCAACAGAAGAGCCCACAACTACAACTACCTTGACAGGCATCTCTTCTGTCCAGGTGACAATTCCCGGCTCTGGAACCAATAGTGCAACTGTCAGCTCTCTTCCTGTTGCTACGGGTGGAAGCTCAGTTAACCCAGCTAAGATTGATGATTATGCATACCTTGGTTGTTTTGGATCGCAGACTGGTTTCCAGACGTTCAATGAGAAAGCTGAGAGCGATGACATGACTATTGAAAAGTGCATTGAAGCCTGCAACGGTTTGACTTATATCGGTATCTTTGAAGGGTAAGTGGCTCAAATCGAAACTCAAAGCGACACTCAACTGACTATTTCCATAGAACCTGCTATTGCGCCTCTAAGCTTGACGCCGATACCCGTGCTTTGCGCAACGAGTCTTCATGCAATCGCCCTTGCCCTGGAAACGACGAGCAATTCTGCGGTGGCATGGTTTCTCAGAGGTCAAAACGAAGCATCCCTCTCCGCCGAGACGCCCCCAACAATATCCTACTCACAGTTTATGCCGACACCAGCGACGCTGGACAGCCTGATGTGCCACCTGGCATGGGCCCCGGTGTTGATGGAACTGCCGCTGGTGGCTCATCAAGTCCAACTAGTGGAAGTGGTCAAGGCCGCTCGCCTGCTGATGGAGCAGATGGCTCGACCGAATCAGATGGTCAAACAGGAGACTCAGCTCAACGCACTGCGAATGGACAAGCTGGTTCAGGCGATGACTTGCCCGCGGCTACTAATAACAGAGTGGTTGATGATACCGCTACAGTAACCGACGTTGTAATTGGCACTGATGTGGACGCTGTGGTTTTCAGCACTTTATCTGATGGTCAAGTTCTTGAAGCAACACAGGCTATCCCCGACACAGGCCGGACAGTTGTCACAAGCACGATCACTTTCTTCACAGTTCTCCCATCGAACCCTGGATCACTTGTGCCTCAAGAAAGCATCGTCACTATGAGCTACTCGCAGTGTGACTACTGCGATACCCCCACGCTGATTCAGCCACCAATGGCGACCAAGGTTGTTGAATGCGCCGGCTGTGGCACAAATGGTGAAAACTCAGTCACATTGACTGTGCCCGTCCATGTCACCGTCACCGTTACTGGTATAAATGCAACCCAGGCGACCGGAAACGCGGCTGCAGGAGTCATCCCAGACCAGACTCGTGAGATCCCTCCTATTGTACCAACCGGAATGGGAAGCAATGCAAATGGTGGCCCTGAAGTCACGACGATCGTGATAACATACTTGACAACCCAGCTCGTCACATATGGCACGGAAACAAACTCCGTCTCTACCGAGACAAGAACCCTGCGGCGCACGGTTGTCGTCACAGTCGCTGACATTGAGACTATGAGTATCCTGCCTGTGCCATCTCCTGGAAGGCCAAATACCCCAGTCTCCCATGCGACACCAACGCCCGGCGCATCGGGCGAACCAGCCGCGGTCTCCAGTGCTTCATCGAGAGTCGATGACTTCTTCGTTTACTTTGCTATTGTGGCCATGGCAATCCTGGCCTTGTCTCTATAAGCGCTTCTGGTGTTGATTTGATATCTGCTTCATTTCTTCCTTACCTTTATGAGAATTTAATAATGGGAAAATCACAGGATATACAAAAACATAGACATATTTGATTATGGTTGGAAGGGTACATGTTTGTTCAACTACGATAGTCGATGTTTTCTTTTGTTTGTTACGATACCTTAGAGCTTAATGCACAATAATACCAATAAGACATTTCAAATATTACCCAAGTCCTCGGAGTCTTAAATAGTGGCTCAGTAGTGAATAGCTCAACTTTACCTGTATATTTAAACTTGCTTACTTGGTCTTTCAAATTTCAACAACAACCGCTCTACTCTTGACCTTGCCCGAATTGCCATTCATCTGCGCAGCATTTACCATGAGACTACCATTGTTACTTCCAGGCCCTGACATGAGCCACTTCCAGGCCACGCTATGAAGGCCTTGGGCTACAAGACGCAGATAATCCAGCCAAGCCTCATTAGGGATGAAGTCTCGGATCAGACCGCGACGAGGTCGTGCCATGATACGTTCATATGTCTCCTGGAAGGTATCAAAAAAGGCCGATTCTTTACCGTAGCCAAAGTGGACGTGACCGAAGACATGGAGACGGGGCTTTACGCGCCAGACTTCACGGAGGAGATTGCTGTCGCCGAGGCCAAGATCAAGGTGGTGTTTCTGAGTGTGTGTAAGTTGAGAACTTGCCATGTTCGATTAGTTAGGGTCTTACCGGAGGGCAGTGAGTAACAAGAATATCGGTTTGCGGAGGTACCTTGCTCAACCAAGGGTGTTTATCTTGAGTATATTGGAAGCTAAAAGCATCATTATGTTAGTTGTCACGGTTTAGCTGGATCATTCATAGACTTACGCAAACTCTTTGGGACCAATGCTGGGAATATCCGGAACGCCAAAGATATTGACTGTTCGGCCCTTGATCTTCTGCACCGTTAAGCCACTTTCAAGATAATGAAGACCCTCCATGTCAGGTTTAGCACCTGAGCGCGCATCCTCTTCAGGGCGACTTTTGGTGTCGAACCAACTATCGTGGTTACCTGCAACAACGACCTTGATAGGATGAGGCTGTTCGCGAAGCCAATTGAGCTGTTTCTGAATGTCTGCCACAGTACCGGAATCTGTAAGGTCTCCTGCATGAATGAGAATGTCACCGTTGGGAATGTCGACTTTGAGATCGTGTGTGTCGGAGATGCAGACGACGCGAATGGCGGGCTTGTCACGCGGTGGGTGAAAAGGTCGACCGCGGAGGAGGAGTACAGCGTGGTAGAAGAGAAAAGCGAGATATGTTAAAGGTGACGAGAGGAGATTGTCGAGGAGAGTCATGGGTTCCCATTGATTCCGGCGACGAAGGCCTATACAGGAGAGGAGGCCCATGATGGGCGTGTATGAGGTAGTTTGAGCTGGGAGAGTTGAGAACGAGGGTTCAATTGGACAAGAGGTGGAAGCTGAAGTATCAGTAATTGAATGAATGAGTGAGTGAGTGGAGAGCTATAGCTACTGGTTAGCTGTAGCTGTGATAGCTCGAGGTAAGAATAGTCCGGATGGTGTGTGGAGTGAGCCATGAGCCATGAGCTATGAGCGGTGGTGACGAAAGCTCCAGCTATAAACGGCCCCGCAGTGACGCTAACTTGACAGCACCCATCCCTACCTCTAACCATGGCCATGGGAAATTGTTGCAGGAGGTTACGATCTAGAAGAAAGAGTATCAAGTGTTGATATTGTGAACTTGTAGAACTTGTAGATGTTATTGAGATTGAGTCTCTTCATGTAGCATTTGTTCCCACCGAGAAGTTCCAAGAGGCATTCACAACTGGAGGTCGTCATACTGAGCCAACGTTTCGACATGTGAAAGCCATTGGCATGTTCCAAGCTTCAGCTACTCCGTGTGATTCGGCAATTCTCATAAGCAAGTTGCGGTAGATGAAGCAGAATATCAATGAAAAGCAACTGGATGTCCATAACCACATATCATTTCACAGTGAATAGCATCATATTATATGCAGCTACTATATATAACTGACACTCCATATCATACATAGCATGTCTATCCCATGCACAGACAAGATCCATATCTTGGCCAAAATGTGTGGTGACGTCGCTTAATGTGCCAATCTCCCCACTACCGCACCTTCCAGCATTGAAGCTGAAGCTCCCCTCAGCTGGGCTAGGATCTTAACTAAAGCTTGTTTCTCCAACTTTTTATCCATCGTCATCGACCCAACTTCATTGGATTGGATGCCTCAATCAGTACATATCAGTATTCATATCCCTGCCCTGCCCTGCCCTGCCCTGTTTTGCTCTTTGTCTCATCTTGTCTCGTTTCTGTATCGATAACCTCTTCCTCCCTCCCTTCCCCTTCTCTTTTGCTTCTCTTCCTTCAACCTCTAGGTTATAGCATATGGTCAACCTCTGCTAAACATGTCCAATGTAAAGGACCTGTACAGCCAATCTGGCGTCGAGAGCCAGACAAGCAACTTTGGGTCAGCACGAGACAAGTATTCAATTGAGTATAACTAACACTATCCAGCGTCGACTTTGTCATTCACTACAAGGTCCCTCCCTCAGGTAAGTAATGCTCTTTAATGACCCTACGCAACTAACACGCCACAGAACGCGCAGAAGCTGAAGCCGGCTTTGTCCAGCTCATCCAGGCCCTCACCACTGTTGGTCTGGCCACCGAAGTTCGTCACGGCGACAACAACTCCCTCCTCGTCTTCGTCAAGGTCGCTTCCCCCGATCTCTTCGCGAAGCAAGTCTACCGCGCCCGCCTTGCCGACTGGCTGCACGGCGTTCGAGTCTCAGCCCCCCACAGCGACGTCAGACAAGCCCTCCAGGATGATCCCGTTGTTGAAGCCGAGCGCCTGCGCTTGATCTACCTTATGATCACGAAGCCACGTAATGAAGGTGGTGCTGGAATTACTCCGTCCAACGCAAAGTGGAAATACGTTGAGTCCATATTTCCTTTGCATAGTCACAAATTCAACAAAAATTGGATCAAGAAATGGAGCAGCAAGTATATCCTGGAGCAGAGCGACATTGACGACATTCGAGACAAGTTTGGTGAAAGCGTTGCATTCTACTTCGCCTTCCTGCGATCCTACTTTCGCTTCCTCGTCATCCCCTCCGGTTTTGGCTTCGTCGCATGGCTTCTACTTGGCCAATTCTCGTTCCTCTATGCCTTGCTCTGCGGTCTCTGGTCTGTCGTTTTCCTCGAATACTGGAAGAAACAAGAGATCGACCTGGCCGTGCAATGGGGTGTCAGAGGTGTATCCAGCATTCAGCAGGCGAGGCCTGAGTTTGAGTGGGATCGCGAAGCTGAGGACCCTGTCACTGGCGAGGTTGTCAAGGTGTATGAGCCCATGAAGCGCATCAAGACTCAATTGCTTCAGATCCCCTTTGCCCTGGCCTGTGTTATTGCTTTGGGTGCTTTGATTGTGACTTGCAATTCCCTTGAAGTCTTCATTAACGAAGTCTACAATGGTCCTGGCAAGCAGTATCTGGTAATGATGACCTCAATACTCTCACTAGCATAACTGACGGGTTATTAGGGCTTCTTGCCAACCATTCTTCTTGTTCTGGGTACTCCTACTATCTCCGGCCTGCTCATGAGCGCTGCTGAGAAATTGAACTCAATGGAGAACTATGCTACTGTTGATGGTATGAATGCTGACCCTTTCAAACATTGTCGAAGCTAACCTCTGTAGCCCATGATGCTGCTCTCATCCAGAAGCAATTCGTCCTCAACTTCATGACCTCTTACATGGCTCTTTTCTTCACAGCATTCGTCTACATTCCCTTTGGCCATGTCCTGGTCCCCTTCCTCGAGTTCTGGAGAAAGACAGCTCAGGTTGTCACCTTCAGTGAGAAGCCGCTTCCGACACGAGAATTTCATATCAACCCTGCTCGAATTAGCAACCAGATGTTTTACTTTACAGTCACGGCTCAGATCGTAAACTTTGCTACCGAGGTTGTGGTACCTTACCTCAAGCGAGAGGCGCTCGAGAAAGCCAAGGCCCTCAAGGCCCAACCAAAGGTTCAGGACGACCACGAGGAGGAAGCCGAATTTCTTGAGCGTGTTCGCAAGGAGAGCGTTCTCGAGGTGTACGATGTCTCGGGAGACTACCGTGAGATGGTCATGCAGTTCGGTAAGCTGAGGTTGGAAATATTTGTGAAACTCGATATCTGACCCGTGCATAGGTTATGTCTCCATGTTCTCGGTCGCTTGGCCACTTGCTGCTTGCTGCTTCCTCGTCAACAACTGGGTTGAGTTGAGATCCGATGCTCTCAAGATTGCCACCAGCAGCCGACGACCAATCCCATGGCGAACCGACTCAATTGGACCCTGGTTGACCGCACTCAGCTTTATTTCTTGGCTCGGCAGTATCACTAGCTCTGCTATTGTGTACTTGTGCAGCGGCGCCCGAGGTAATGGAAGCCATGGTGAACCATCACCCCTCAAGGCTTGGGGTCTGCTGCTTAGCATTCTTCTGGCTGAACATTTCTATCTGGTCGTCCAACTGGCGGTCCGCTTTGTTCTTAGCAAGCTGGATAGCCCAGGCGTGCAGAAGGAGCGCAAGGAGCGTTTCCTAATGAAGAGAAAACTTCTCGAAGAGAACATTGGCCAAGGTGCATCGGAAGAGTCTTCAGTTCCAGGCATTGATCACAGTGAGAAGATTACTCGCGAAGCTTTGGAAGAGGAGGCCCGACAGACATCCACCCGAGGTCACGGAACGCCTGAGGAGATGTAAGTGGACTTAAGCATGATATTTCTATTTGTACTAATGACTGTCATAGGTTCTGGCAA